ACATCCTAGAGATAAAAATAAAGATCCTGGATAAATTTAATGAAATAAAAAAAGAAGCAACAGAAATGTCAGTAATAGACTCAAGTTGAAAAAGATAGACCAATTGAAAATGTCCAGTTTTAGACTCAAATAAAATGGAATAAACAAGAATGGAAAAACTCTATGAGGATAATGAGGAACCGCCAGGAGACCTAATCTATGCATCACAGGGGCTCTGCCACAGTGGGTTGACCTCACCTCCTTTGGAGTTAGCAGGAAGGGAGGAGCCTGGAACAGGAGCCAGTGTGACAGCCCACATAAACTCAGAGTTAAGGCAAGGACTAACAGGAATGGCCCTACCGAGGCTGCCTTCTCCTTGGCTGTGTGGGCACACCAACAAAAGACAAAGGGGGCTGCTGAAGCCTCTCCAAGGTTCTTCTCTTCCTCCTCCTCCTTTTGGATCTCCCTTAATTTATAAAATAAAAATGGAAAGTGTAAATTGCAGGAGCTGGGGATGAAGCTCAGGAGGTAGTGTTTACCTCAAATGCACGAAGCCCGGTTCAGCCCCAGCTGCAGCCTACACTGATGGTGGGAGCACTTTGCTTGTAGTCCCCACCCCTGGGAAAGGGGAGGCAGGAGAATGGTTCAGTGGCACTCTTTGGTGCATCGTCAGTCTGAGGCCATCGTGTCTGAAAGAAGGAAAAACAAGAAGAATAATAAGTCAACAGATAAATACTGTGCACATCCCTCTCTGAAGACCTTGGAAAACTTGCCAAAATAAGGGGTCTATTTGAAAAAAGATAAGGACCACACAAATCCCTAGCAACATTCCTGGATCACCTTCTTTTCCGCATCGCTCTCCATTTCTATCCTATCTCAAAGTGGAACCTTCCATCTGCCACTCTCTCTGCTCCATCCTTTTCTTAGAGACGCCATAAGTCCTTCTTCCCACTAAGCTGTCCTGTGGACTCACACATCTTCCCAGCCTCTTGGGACACACTGAGGTATGTGCAGTGAGCTGCACGGCTGTTTACTCAGATAACGAAGTCTTGGTCTGTCTCCCTGTGCTTAGCACTGTTCGGTTCCCAGTAAGTGTTCAAGACTGGTGCATTGAGTGGATGGATGTTGCCCATCCAAGGTGAATAAACAGGAGATGGGCAGCAGTTGATTTGTTCACAGATTTTGTTTTGTTTTGATATGTTTCACTGCTAATGTGAAGCTCAGGGTTGTACCTGGGGTGGGGGGAAGCCTAGCCTTTGTAAAATGTTGGTATGTTGTGTAATCCATATTAGAAATTTGAGACTTGGTACTGGAAAAACTGGTGGTAACTCCAAAAGATCTCTATTTCCACCCTAAAGTCTAGTGTCTTTTCCCCCAGGGCATAAATAGGAGCCCCGGGCAAAGAGCATCGGGAATCCCTGCCCGTGCTTAGGGAAGAGACCCCTCCTATGTAATTGGATGTTAAAAAAAGAAAATCTCTTTAAGTCAGACACAGGATTTTGGCTGAAGTTCAGCCACATACCTAGTCTAAGCTGAATTTGGGTATAGCCCTAATAATTACAGTTACTCTTTAGAGAAACAGCCCAAGAGGTTTACCTGGAGATTCGTTCCAGATGTAAGCAGGTATGTGAGGAGCTTGGTAATGAAGATGTAAACCGGATGAGGCCATTCTGTGCCCCACAGCCTTCTCTGCAATCGCTCGAATGCTAGGAGATGTTCCACAGCCATCTAACAAACACCAGATGCCTGGCCAGTCTCACAGGCTGGAGTGTTAAGGAGAAGGGGGGGTGTGGGGGAAGAACCCCAAATCTGGATGCCTTCGCAGTTATCAATCTGTTACAAATTGTAATCAGACACAATTAATTCTCTTTAGCCCATCGTTCCTGGGATGGACCTTGGTGTGTCCCATACTCTCAAACTCTCTCTCTTGTGGCAGATTAAGATTGATCTAGCAGCACTGGTAAGGGTACCCATCCTTACTCCATCACCAGGAAAGATTACTGGGCCAGCTTTCACAGGAAGGGAATGTTTTGGTCATATGTATTTCCGGCGTCACCTCTGTTCTTCCTCTTTTCCATTTATGTTCATATGTGGCTCACTGTTTCCTGTAGCAGTCAGAATTACAAGACATACTCAAGATGCCCCTGGGGCAGGGGACACAGGGTTTGCTACCAAAGCGCAAAACTGCAGTGTACCTAATGAGCTTCCTCTGAACTAACTGTCACACCACAGGACATGCTTGGGAGGGAAAAGCTTTTCACATAAATAAATGGCTTAAAATTTCCAACTGTGGGTCAGGTCTACTGACAACTGAGCACTATGAAAAATTAGTAAACTGGGCTTTGAGGTCACGTGAACTTGAGCTCCATTTGTGATTGGCGATGAGTGATGTATCTTGGCCATGAATTATTGAGTGATGTATCTTGGCCAGGTATTATGATGAGTGATGTATCTTGACCATGGATTATGATGAGTGATGTCATGTGTTTTGCTCTGATATCTAGTGGAACAACTTTAAGGGGACCACACATGTCCTGTTGGAGGTAATGAAGCAAACAGTTATTTACCATTTGGTACCGTTAAGGTGAAGAAGCACTCCTACATTGACACTGAAGTCCTTAGGATGAAAACCTCAAGCGGACCTTTCTCATCCTTACAATTCCATTGAGCTATGTAAGACATGGAAACTTTCTTGCCTTACTTTGTTACACCCATTTCTGTATCTTCACCCTTCACCCCGTCATGAGTGCTGAATTGAGCACTAATAATTAGTCCCTGCATGAACTGCTCTTGTTTATTCATGCTTGTGTTTGCTACGGGTATCACATTGGACACAGCAGGAGAGGCCTTGCAAGCCTTCAGATAACAGAGGCCCCACGGCTTCTGTTCCCCAATCTGACACCCTTATTGTCTATAATTGGATGAAAAGTCTGGAAAACTGCATGTGGGGTGAGGCTCCAACTTGGTGTCTATGCTGGTGAGTTTTATGTCAGCTTGACACGGACTAGAGTCATCTGGGAAGAGGGCCCGTGGGCAAGTCTGGGATGTGTTTTCTTAATTAGTGAGTGATGTTAATTAGTAAGTGCTGTTAAAGCCCACTTTTACAGTCCACTGCTGGTGGTCTCACCCCTAGACAGGACATAAACCCTTTCCTCCCCAAGTTGCTTTTCATCATGGTGTTTTATCACAGCAATAGAATCCCTAAATAAGCTCCCAACTCGAAGGTCTCTATGGCTTTGACCCATAACTATTCCAGAAGTTTTCATGGTCACATGATAACCTTTGTGATATTTGGGGTTGGGAGGCCTCAGAGCTGCCAGTAAAGGGCTGGTAGTCATCACCCAGCTGATCCCTTTCAAGACTGGCCTAGGGCAAGACCAGCCTCTGAACGAAGAAAACCAGAGTTCATATCAGAATATTCTTTGGTAGCACATGGCACTTCTTCAAGCCCCACGTCAAAATGATGAACTATCCATCAGCTTTGACCAATACAAGAAGCAATGCCTAGGATCAGTACCAGGTACCTTTGCGACTGTCCTGTGGTCAGCTTGTAAATTTAATCTTCAAGGGACACCAATTGTCTTAGTTATGGCTTCTATTGCTGTGAAGGTGCACCATGACCATGGCAACTCTTGTAAGGAAAGCATTTAATTGGGATGGTTCACTTACAGTTTCAGAGGCTCAGTCCGTTATCATCATGGTGGGAAGGATGGCGGCATGCAGGAAAACGTGATGGTGGAGCTGAGAGTCCATTATCTTGCAGGCAACAGGAAGTTGACTGAGACACTGGGTGGTGCCCTGACACAGGAAACCTCAAAGTCCACCCCAACATTGACACACTTCCTCCAACAAGGAAGACCTCACCCACTCCAACAAAGCCACGGCTCATAATAGTGTCACTCCCTACGAGATTATGGGGGCCAATTATATTCAAAATCCCACACCAATATTGTCTATAATTAGTCATTTTGTTACTAAACTATGAAAAATGTTATCTATATATGACATTTGAATAAGAATGGCTCCATTGGCTCATATGCTTGAATATCTGTTTCCCAGTTGGTGGACTGATTAGGAAGGACTAGCAGGTGAACCCTTGTTGGAGCAGGTATGTCACTGTGGGAGATTGAGGCTTAAAAAGCCCTTGTCATGAGCTCCCCCCCCATCTGCCTGTAAATCAGGATGTAACTGCTCATCTACTGCTCTGACAACATGTCTGCCTGCCACATGGAGCATGGTCTAAACCCTCTGAAACTGTAAGCCAGCCCCCAACTAAATGCTTTCTTTTAGGGTTGGGGGTTTAGCTCAGTAGTAGAGCACTTGCCTAGGGAGCACAAGGCCCTGAGTTTGTTCTTCAGCTCTGGAAAAAAAAAAAAACCAACAACTTTCTTTTATAAGCTGCCTTGATCACAGCAACAGAACAGTAACTAAGACGATATACGCATATACATGTGTATGTGTTTATATATACATACATATACATACATACATGCATGCATACATACATAGAACCTTTGAAGGACTCTCACACTGTAGCCCGGGCTATATTGGAACTCACGAGGTAGTCTAGACTGACTTCAGTGATTCTCCTGCCTCAGTGTCCTAAATTCTGGGATTGCACAATGCACCGCTACTGTCCCATGACTTTTAAATGTGAAAACTAATCTGTGAGCTTGGGGACCTCTGTCCTTCTTTTTCTGGGGACCGCCCCTAGCCTGTGTAAGTGTTGGGCATCTCACCAGAGCCCAGGCAGCATGACAACAGCCTGCAATCTCACATCTGCAGTTACCACAGTGGCAATTTCCGAAGCATGTTTTAGCACAAGCCTTGAGGACTCTCAAGGCCTTCCCTGTGACTTGGGGTACAAGGACCCCCCAAGTTCCAAAGGCTGGAGCGGAGGAGAAACCTTTTAGGGCGCAAAGAGCAGATGGCTGGTAGGGGTAGTCTACTTCGTCATTGTGCATGGTGGGCAGCCATGCTGGAAGGTAGCCAGGTCTTCAGGAGTCAGAGAAGAGAGACACTCTTATAAAGAAACTTTATTACCTAATTTCTGTATACAACAAATATAGGAAAAGGCCTTTCAATGAAGGTTTCATGTCACTTTCCAAAAGTTTTAAATTACTGGGAGAAAAGTTGTTAAAAAGCGCTCTAAGTCAAGAGTCATACACAGCCTTCAAAACAAATGGTACTAGCTCTCTTGGCTTCTCATATTGAAAGCAAGGCATTTTAAACAACACAGGGAGGCTCTGTCCCCCATTGCTACGTCATTTGCGTTGAGAGTTTAAATACACAAAAGTGAAAAGTTTGAGTACATGAATACAACTTATGCTGCCGCCTCCTTCCAGTCTCTTCGGCATGCTCATATGGAGACACTTCCTGCCTTCCAGCACATCTCTGCATTGCCCTGCATTGCAGTGGGAGCTGGGAATGGGGACAGAGAAGCCAGTGTGTCCCTTGTGTTAAAGCACAGAATTCCCATGGATCACATGCACCTCGCCATACTGCCTCTGTTCCCTGCACGTCATATCCTTTGACAGTAGATCTGGCGCTTGATGGCTGATATTATTGCTCACTGACATTTTAGCAATATATTTCTTTAACATAAGACAGAAATATAATGAAATCTGATACCACTTAAGCCCAAAAAGCAATCTGGAATTAAACCAAGTGCACATATCTTTCTTCTTTCCTTTCTTTTCTCTTTCAATGGATATTATATATATTTTTTAAAAGTTGGTGCTGGAAAAAGCTGGATTTTATTTAAAAAGCAAAACAGTAAAAGTTAGAAAGCAGGGTTCCTGTGTGTGTGTGTGTGTGTGTGTGTGTGTGTGTTTAATGCTATAGTACTGTAAAAATGAAGGAAGAGCAACAGCCCAAGTCTCTGGGGAGGAAGAAACTCCTGAATTATTTTCTTTGTCTCCTCCAACACTAGGGCTCATATCCAAGGAGCCCTGGGGAGGCCACCACACAGATGGGAGTGTGCAGGAAGGGATGTGTGTGTCTCTGAAGGATGGATGTCATGCTGTACCAATGCCACGTGAGACCCGTGTCTGTCCTTAGCCACCGCACATGGGATCATTCACGGTGCTGCAAAGACTCCTACAGTGGTCTGGATGCCCTGGGTTAAAATTTCCTCTTGTTTCTAGAGAAGAGCAAAGCCTGTGAAATCCAAAGTGGTCCCAGGCTTGGTTGGGTGGGGACTAATATTCCTTCACTTTCCTGTGTGTCCATGTTAAGAGCATGGGTGTCTCTAGAACCGTGTGGTGATGAAGACTCACCAGAATGCCAGGATCTCCGGGAGGAACCCTGGAGAAGCCCAGAAGCTTCCAGACATGGTTCTCACCTTCGCTTGTCCAGCTCTCTGTGCTCACTCCCCATTGTGTCTACAAGTGTTGAATGTCCCTTCTCACCATTTGTCTTTAGCGCTTATGAGGAAAGATGCCAGTCTTCATTAAAAAAAAAAAATTAGAGACATAAATATCTTTTAAAGGTGAATTTCAGGATCAGTGTTCAAAATCACGATGCTTATTTGTGAGACACGATACTCACCCTGGTTACAGCGCTATTAACGACTATCTCCCTTGTTCAGCTCTGTGAAAATCTCAGGCAACCACGCAGAGCCTCACAAGCAAAACCTGCCATTTTGCTACGAGAAAAAAGTCTGGCTTTTGGTCCCTCTGCGTCTTCCCTTTGAGGACACCTGCTCTGTGGCCTCTGAGGTGATTAAACCAGAGCAGTGTGATTTTACAGCACTGATCTAAATTGTATAGTGATATAGTAATTTTGCCCTGAGAATACCAATATATCTTATAAGAGTCCTATTGTGTATATGAAGATATAGGCACAGTGAGGTTAAATGGCTTGTCCCTTGTACACACAGTGAAGTGTGGAACTTGACCTTGACTCTTCTGTCTGAATGCCCAATCTTTCCACAGGCATCCTGTTGCTGTGTAGGAATTAGGGTTAGGTGTGATACCTGTAAGATTTTTCACAGCATGGGATTATTTAGTATTTGAGACTTCAAGAAGACTTGGTCTTCTCTGATCTTTCTCTTTTCTGCCCCATTGATGAAGTATGTTGTCCCTAATATTTTATTTTGCACTGGGGAATCTTCCAAAATGCTCACCCAGATGTAGTTCTCACAAGGTGTAGAGAGAAAGGCTCACAAAGGCAACAGGCAGGCGGTCTTCCTTGTGAGCTTTGGACATGAGGGGGGGGCAGCATTTTACAGTTGTCTTACATTCCACTGTTTTCAATGGAAAGTAATATAAAATAAAGACCTGCCCACGAGGTAATGTTTACGTCTCTGCGGCAACCCTCAGAGAGCCCTCTCAGATCTGGTAACAATCTAACATAAGGAACAACTTTAAACCTTCACACCCTTTCAGTGAGAAAAAAACCTTAGCTCAGACTTTCGGCAGAGACCAGAAATCTAAGACATCACTCCATCTTTATCATAAGGCCACATGTCTGGATGCCCTGCCTTCTCCAGCTCTGCTCCCTGCCCCTGGGCACCAGCTCTCTGATTCCCCCTTAGGAGATCAAACAGCTTCCAGCTCTTAGTCAAAAGGGGAGAGAGAACCCACAACAAAATTGAAGGGAGGTCTGTGCCCAGAGAAAACAACACCAAGGCTACTTAGAAGCTTGTGAAAGAAGGCCACAGAGCTGCCTCCATTTGCAAGGCCTACACACAGTTCTTTACCTAGTCAACAGTAGAATACATGAATGGGCAGAACTCCTGGGAGAGAGAGAGAGAGAGAGAGAGAGAGAGAGAGAGAGAGAGAGAGAGAGAGAGAACGATTTCAATAGCACAAGCTGCCCTTATAGCTTCTGAAAATATACCTCTGTTAAGAAAAACCTTTTTTTTTTTGGTTTGAATTTTTTGTTTGTTTTTGTTTTCAATCAGCTGTGCATTAAGAACACTTGGTTTCCCCCACTCTCCCCGATTCTACAGCTCTGCTCTGTCCGCTGATGCTGGGCTGCTGCTCGGTCTGCCACCGCCTCCTTCTGCCTCACCGCTGTCTGTGGGGGTGAAAGACAAGGAGGCCGAATTGATGCAGTATCTTTTGCCGGTCGGGCGAGGTCCATCGTCAAAGATGTGCCCAAGATGAGCACCACACTGCAAGAGGAAAAGAGCGTTTAAGGCAGACACTCGCACAGAGGAGGCTCTGAAGGGGAATGCGTGCTAGGCAGTTCAAATGGATGACAGAAGGCATCCTGGACCATTTCTAATCTGTCTGTCAATAGTTGCTGAGATGGTTCCAGGCAGGCTTTGTACCACATGCCGAGAATGAAAAACACTGGGACTGTGCACTTCAGAAATCATTTAGGAGACACTGCGTGTTTTGATATGCGAGCTCTCAGCCAGCTGGAGGACCACTACAGGAATTTCTTGTATGGAATTGACCCTTGATCTCCCCTTGTAACAAACAGGGCAGAGTGAAATCTCTTCCCTGCCTGGCATGACTTTTGGCTTTGGATGGGTGAGTCTCAGATATGCAGAAGTCCACTGTAAAAGATACTGTTTAACTGGCCATGACGGGGGCCATGGTTGTTTTCATGGGCGGTAAAACTTAACATCAGCACCGGATGTGCTTGGAACCCAAAGAAGCAGTGGCAAGACTCTGGGGATTTATGTCATGGTCACCAGAGCTGCAAGTGTAGTAAGTGGAAAGTTCCCAGCCCACACAGTTGCTTTTTCCTAGCTTCCAATAGGTAGAGTGACACACTGCCCCCCCATGCCCCACCCAAATGAACTAAATATGTGGACAAGAAAGAGGCTATTCATCAAAATGCCAAGGAAGGAGAGAGGCAGAAGGAAGGACAGTTGTGAGTATAAAAGACTGGATGAATGGATGCTGTGGCTGGATGCAGTAGCTGCATGCTGTGGCTGCATGCTGTGACTGGATGCAGTGGCTGGATGCTGTGGCTGAATGCTATGGCTGGATGCAGTGGCTGGATGCTGTGGCTGCATGCAGTGGCTGGATGCTGTGGCTGCATGCTGTGACTGGATGCAGTAGCTGCATGCTGTGGCTGAATGCTATGGCTGGATGCAGTGGCTGCATGCTGTGGCTGCATGCTGTGACTAGATGCAGTGGCTGGATGCTGTAGCTGGATGCAATGGCTGGATGCAGTGGCTGCATTCTATGGCTGCATGCCGGATGCAGCTTCTTCACAAAGGCTAGCTACTGAATAAATGCTCGTGTTGTTTTTGAAGCTGAGTATATTTATAGTCGGTGACATGTGTCACATGTATACATCTCCAACTTCTCAGCCGGGTCAGGGGAGGTAACAGAGGTATCAGATACCATCTCCAACAGGCTTTGGGAGCAAAGAAGCCAATGGTTGGACTCAGTGGTTTCACAGACTTGGTTTCACAGACTTGTTTAGTTGGTAATGACGGAGTACCTGTTACATGCCAGGTGCTGTAATTTAAAAAAGTGGCGTGAGAGAAAGAGATGCCAGGTGATAGAGCTCAATGTGGAGGGTCTTTTCTTTTCCTTTTTTTTTTTTTTTCCAATCGGGAAAGGGAATGGGAAAGGGGGAGCGAGGATGGGGAAACAGGGACAACAGAAGAGAAGAGAGAGGCAAGATGGGGGGGTACGGGGGACAGAAAGGCAGGCTGAGAAGCAGAGAGAGAGGGAGAGGAACAGGCAGGGCCCTTTTGAAAGGGAACGTAGTGAATGTGCACAGGCGGTGCTCTTAGTGGCTGCAGATGAGGGCGCATCCTGTCAGGACCCCAAGGGCAGGCCAGTGCAGATGCCTGAACACTAACAAGAGACACTATCCTACTTTCAGAAGATTTGGGCAAGAATCCTGGCCTCAGAGCACTTTCCTGCCAGTAGGAAACACAGACAATACGCAAGAAAGTCAGTGGCGCAATAGAACGCAGCTAAGAAGAGAGAGGACAGAGAAAGCATCACGATTTCCGGAGACACGAGCGAGGAAGTGACCAAGGGAGGGAAGAGGGAGATGCGGGCACTTCCATACAACGTCTCTACTCCAGTCATGGAGCTGCTCGCGAAACTCTTACAAATTAAGAGGGCCATATGGACTGGCGAGGGACTGGGGTTACCCTACACCTGCAGACGGTGAGACAGAAAGCATGGAGGATGCTTATCACAACAGGAATGCCTCTAGATGCCTGGGGTCTCGCGTTCTTTTGGAAGGTGCTAAGCTCCACATGGGTGTGTTCTCTAGTTACTAACAAACAGCACCACAGCAGTGTTGGCTCCGCAGCACGTCCATGCTAAAGGTGCATCCTTGCATCATGCTATGTCCATTCACTGAAGAACAGAAAACGGACCCCAAACTGATTAGATCAGTTGCCTGGAAAATATGAAACAGGCCTACAAAACAAATCTTGCATTATTATTATTATTTTTTTTTTTTTACCACTTTCTATGCAAGTTTGGGTGATACCAAAGATGACAGCTCAGATTGCTTTTCCTTTCTATAAACAACCGTGGCCAAATGTGCAGGGATCAGCAGCTGAGATGCACTAAGAAAGCGCCCCACACACTGGCCCTGCGAACACAGGAAAACACTGCTCTCTGCCCGCCAAAGCATTCGAGGAGCAGGCAGACAGGAGCTAGCATTCCCAGTGACTGGTGCACAGTTACTGATCTCATGTGCAGACCTGATACTTGGATCACTCAGCATCTGAGAGGGGAATTGTGCGTATAAAAGCCTGAAGTGGGGTGTGTGCGTGCGCATGCGTGCGCGAGCACTTCCGCATGCATACACAGACAGTAGTTATTGAGAGAACACAGCTTGCTGGGCAAAATAAGTGAAGAGAAGAAAAGAGTGATAAGGATAGATTGTTAGAAGTTACGTGGTCTTCACTTCCTATATCATGTTTTCAGAAAAACAAATGATGGTAATTCAATCTGTTGGACCAAGTTGACTTTTCAACTTAGTCCTTTTATTTGCTAATTAGGAACCCGCCCTCTGATTAACCAGAAAGGGAAGTTCCGCCTCAAAAAAGTAAACGACAAAGGTGACATCATGGTACCTAGCACAAGATGCTCTAGCGCAGTGGTTCTCAACCTGTGGGTCACAACCCCTTTTGGGGTTCAATACCAAATATCCTGCCTATCAGATGTTTACAATTATGGTTTATTACAGTAGCAACAAAAATGATTGGATGTTTGGGGGTCACCACAACATGAGGCGTGGCAGCTTTGGAAAGGTTGAGAACCACTGCAAGGCCCACAGGACGCTGGTTCCCTGAGAGTAGCATAGGTGATCATGTCCATCTCTGCCACCGCATTGGTGTCTGCTATGCATCGCCTGTTGCTTCTATGAAAGACTAACCACCCGGCAGGCTTCCTTTCAGGGTTAGGGGCCTGGGCTTGAGAGTACACAAGACAAAGGGAGAGAGCGCACATGGAGCCCATTCCCGCCAGCTTCTAGCCAGGCCAGAGGCTGGGATGATGGATGGAAGTTGTCAGTGATGCATTGCTTCCTTAGCGGCCTGCGAGCTCTGCCTCCCTAGCCCCAGCCAATTGGCAATGCGCTGGGATCGCTCGGCACACCTGGTAGTAACTGAAACAAACTGGTTGCCTGATGAAGAAATCTCCGAAACCTGCTGTTAGTGATTTCATCCCCGATAGAATCTCTCCTGTGTGCTTCCAGAGTTTTGGTGCCTATGCTGCTCTTTATTTTACAGGGAAACACTGCACCTGAGCACTCTAGGCTTCACTCCGTAGGTGCACGTGGAAACAGTTCAAAAGGAAAGAAACAATTCTCACGGGAGTCCTTCCTCCTGTAGGCTTCCCTTCAGGAATGTTCAGGGAGAGAGCCTGTGGAGAACTCAGAGAAAGGGCATCCTAGACAAGAGACCAAGACCCAATTTAACTTGAGTCCTTAAAGACTCGCTGCAGGTCTGAACCATGGGTCTAAGGAACACAAACAGTGCATTCCCCACAGCGGTACAGCGCTGCAGTGATGGATTTCCCACTGTCCTAGAGGCCTTTCTCTCCTCTGCTACAGGACTCTTGCCCTTTTTTTAACTGTCAGTTTCCCTGAAGGGTTTGATCTACAGCATGAAGCACTTTCAAAGCTAAGCTTTTATACTTGGGCACGGAGGGAAAGGGAAAAGAGTTTTCAAAAGGAAAGCAATTTACTTTGCCATTTAGTACTGTTTCCTCCCGTGGTTCCTCAGGACACCTGTGTGCAAGTAGGGGCCCTGTTTCCTCTGCGCTTGCAATATTAATCTTTTGTCAAGGAAACGATTGTGAAGTCACCAGGTTAATGCTATGCTTTTACTGAAAGATCAGGAAGAAGAGAGATGGGTGCCTGAAGCCCCACTGTGAGTCATGGGTGTCTTTAATCTTAGGCAATATAGGAGTTGTCTGCAGAAGATTAATAAGGCTTGGAGTTTTACTAAAAATTGCTCAACTTTTGAAACATTCTTCATGTCCATTGGTATCACCTTTCTGTTGATTTGGTTAATGAGATAAATTAATAATGTTCTAAAACAAATTTGAGGGACTCTACAAGAGGGCTCGGCAGTGAGGTCAGCACTACAAACAGACTGTCACTTGAGCAATCTTGGATCTGACGGTTTCCTTCAAGATTATGAAACAAAGCGAAGTCATTTACTAGGCCTGCACTCACTCCAGATGTAGAATTCTGACCTGAATTTTTTCTGATATTACCAGGAAAGCCTGACTTCATTGGACTATCTGTTGCTAACCATGAACGCTTACCTCTTTGACTGTCTTTAAGCCCCTAGCAGAAAGCGGCTTACCAGCTGGTGGGTTGTGTGTGTGTGTGTGTGTGTGTGTGTGTGTGTGTGTGTGTGAGAGAGAGAGAGAGAGAGAGAGAGAGAGAGAGAGAGAGAGAGAAGGTGCTACTAGCCTTAAGAGAAGTTTACTGGTTACCATGTACCTACATCACAAATTTCAGAGTATCATCCTGCCTGCCTATAATATAATCTTTTATCAAAAATTTTAGATTCTTGAATAGACAATCTCAGTTGATTCCAACTTAATTAAATTTAATTAAAAATTGAATCACATTAAAGCAAATGCTGGGGAATTATGGGGTTTTTAAACATCTCTTACAACTTGGTCTTTTGTAGTGTCCATCACCCCCCCCCCCACACACACACACACACACACACACACCCCTCTTTAACAGAGTGTTCTGGAATCAGATTACCTAAATGCAAATCTTAGCTCTGCCATTAGAGCTACACAACTTTACCTAAGCAACCGCCTTCTCTGGGACTCCGTTTCCCCAACTGTAAAATGGGGGAGAACAAGGTTATTATGCTCATTAACCAGAAGAACGCTGGGCAATGATGCTGTGTAGGCAAGCAGGACAACTAGAGTTTCTGGGGAGCAAACCCAGCACACTAGAAAGTTCCACTGTCATCTTAGACCTATTTCTCAGAGTTGGGCAAACTGAAAACATGAGTTAAATAAATGATGTCTTACGATTTTCAAGGGCGAGGGGGGGGGTCCTCATACATGAAAGGTGGTATACTTAATAACCAAGAACAAATTTGTAGACAGTATCATCTACATGTATGAAATTGATAAAGCACAAATTCAGTAATAAAGAAACCCAGAAATTCATCAAATAGTCAAGTTCAAACAAATATCCTTCCCTCTTGACAATAAAAACACCACCTACTCTCTGAGAATCTTGCACCTATGGAAGATGAGAAGCTGGGCAAAGGACAGGCAGAGGAGTCCCAAGGAAAGCCCACATGGCCGCCAATCTGCCCCTGAAGATGCACAATGGTACCTTTCTTTACTCCATCCCTACAAGACCATCTTCCAACAAAGCAATCTTGGGTACCAGTAAATGTGAGTACCCCGGCCCTCAGAGCCCTTCTTTCTGGGCAAATACAAACTAGGCTATTTACTGTAGAGTATGGCATGGCTTCCTCCATACTGGCATTTCAGCTGTGGCTCTCGGTTAGCCACAAAATACCAGTGAGTTTCAGTCTCTCGACACATTCACTCCTGTCACTTCACTCTCAAAACATTTCCACTTTCTTCCATAGAGGCATTCGTTTGGGTACAGAACTAAACAGAGCATCCTTGGAAACACGGGCAAATATATGCACCAGCACAAACCCAGAAAGAGCTGCCTTAGCTTGTACTTGCCTTTAACTAGCCTACCACTAGACTTCCACTTCTGACGGCTTCTCTCCAACCTCTCTACCCAGGAAAAAGGCACGTCTGAGACCCTCTCAGACTGTGTTTGGATCACAGCCATTAAAGACATTATGAATAAAGACTGGCTAACAGAACACTGCAGAGGAGAAGCTATGCAAGGCTATATATAATGAAATCACCGTAGACCTTGCAAATGCTGCCTCATTCATCACTATAGGAGGACAAATGTAAAAAAAAAAAAAAAAATGCCCCACCTACCAACCAATGGCTGTTTAATATTGTTGAAGCCAGTGACTGACACAGGGTTAGTCTTGTTAAACACCTAAAGATGGAGGTACGCCAGGCGGTGGTGGCACACACCTTTAGTCCCAGCACTAGGGAGGCAGAGGCAGGCAGATCTCTGAGAGTTCGAAACCATTCCGGTCTACGAGAGCTAGTTCCAGGATCACCTCCAAAACCACAGGGAAACCCTGTCTCGGGGGGAAAAGAAGATGGAGGTATCGTCCAGACTTTAAACATGATCCAGCACAAGTGTCTGTCCCTCTTGTGAGCAGTCCTGTGTTCTTATCACCGCATGTGCATACAGTGAAGAGCCTCTGAAAGTGTTTGCTGCACAGAGCGAGCGAGTGGAGACCCATGCTGGGGATGCAGGTGGGGTCAACTCACCTGAGAACAGCTTGTCTCCACCCTGTGCATCCCATAGGAAAAATCGTCTGTGAGCTCGATGGCCTCAGAGCTGATCACGTCATGAAAGGAAGGCCAACCTGGAGCAGAATGGGCACATGGGCCAAAAGGGAGGAGACAAAAGCTTGGGTTAGATTCCAGTCTCGGAGACGATGAAGCAAATGAAACAAAAGCCTTAGCTGTGACTAATGCTAGGCTTCTTTGACGTGGAAGAAAGGGTCAAAGCCAGGAGATAGGATTGCATAGACGTTTAACCCTTTCGTCACACGGAGACACCGCAGAGCTGAGCTAGCGTGCATTTCCCTAGAAGGCCGGCCTTCCATCACTGGTAGTTTCTGAGAGCATCTCAGCATTTCACAGGCTCTCTGTCACCACCCTCTCTTATCTTCAGAGTCATGGCTTAGATGCGCGGTTAATCTTCCACTGTGGCAATTTCCAAAACAACCGACGGATCTGGATGTTACCTTTTCCAGCCATTCCACAGTTCTTTAGAAAATTACGCTTTTCTGTTCTTAGTTGGATGGTTACCCTGTCAACTATCTAACTTCATTCCTAGTCTAATGAAGTTACCATCTAACTTCATTCCTAGTCTAAAGTGTATCTGGTACCCAGCCTGTGTCTTGTGAGCAAACATCACTTCCTAGGAAAAGCTCAGAGCGCAGCATGCCCAGGCATCTAGAGATCACACTATCTCTCAAATAGTATCTTTCCCTCCAATTTTCATGCATTCTAATCATTTTTAAACCACATTTTAAGAAACTCTTGGTGAGTAGAGCACACTTGGAATACACAGTTGGGTTTGTTTGTTTTGGGTTTTGTAACATTTCTTCCAAAGATGCTTGAGGCCCTTAAGTGAGGAAAGAGGTTAGGAGGCAGCTGAGCGGCTGGCGTAACTGTTATTTCCTCTTTCAGGGGCCATTTGCTCCCACAGAAAGGAAATGCCACTTCAACACGGGGTGTTTCGCTTTAATATACACACTGAAAGAAAGCAGTATGCAGACCCCAACAACAGGATTTTCCCTCGGAAGCTAAACTCCTCATCCCCAGACCCCACATGAGTACAGGCTGCTTTTTACAATCATTGCTAAAACACTTCCAGTTCCTTTATGTGAACCTAGGACTCCTGACCACCAGGAGAGCCTAACCCTGAGCATCTCCACTCTTCACTGTAAGTAACTCATGACTTAGTACACTCAGAACTCAGAAAAGACCTGGACCACATGCTAGGCTGCACCTTTGGCTTTTGCAATGGCTGTTTCACACATTCTTAAATCACCCAAGTGCCGACTGCTAGCCAGGGTAAATTTCATGGTGACATTTAAGGACAGTGATAAATGAAGTCATTTATCCGGAAAAGAAAGAAAGCGTGGTGGGTTGGCCTGTTTAACCCTTCCGCGGCGGGACACATTTGAAAGTAGCTTAAGGTACCTGATACCAGTAGGGGGTGGGGTTAGAGTCTTTGGGACTTGACTCAGTAGTCCAGGGTGACAAGATGAGATGCCACCGTTTCCTGCTTCTAAAAGTCCAGACAGGAATTGAGGCGCGGATGGATGTGCCCCTCCCCCCTCCCATGCCACTCTGCTTCTTATCCACTGTCATCTTTTCTGTTTATCCACTCCTGAGATTGGCCAGCATGCTTCCGTGCCTTCCTCCTGACTAGGTGATAAGTGCTGGCAGGCAGTGTAAGCTCACAGCCTCACAGGTCAGAGTGCAGCGTGGGCACCTAGCGCCCTAGTTTCCAGGAAGCGTACAGTAAGGGAGTGAGTGAGCAAAGCACACTGCGCGCACGCGTGTGTGTGCGCACGCGTGTATGTGTGTCTGTATGTGTCTGTGTGTGTGTGTCTGTGTGTGTGTCTGTGTGTGTCTGTGTGTGTGTGTCTGTGTCTGTATGTGTGTGTGTGTCTCTGTGTGTGTGTGTGTGTGTCTGTGTGTGTGTGTCTGTGTGTGTGTGTGTCTGTGTGTGTGTGTGTGTGCGCGCATGTGTGTCTGTATGTGTGTGTGTCTGTGTGTGTGTGTCTGTGTGTGTGTGTCTGTGTCTGTATTGTGTCTGTGTGTGTGTCTGTATGTGTCTGTGTGTGTGTGTCTGTGTGTGTGTGTGTGTCTGTGTGTGTGTGTCTGTGTGTGTGTGTCTGTGTGTGTGTGTCTGTGTGTGTGTGTCTCTGTGTGTCTGTGTCTATGTGTGTGTGTGTGTGTCTGTGTGTCTGTATGTGTGTGTGTGTGTCTGTATGTGTGTCTGTGTGTGTGTGTCTGTATGTGTGTCTGTGTGTGTGTGTCTGTATGTGTGTCTGTGTGTGTGTGTCTCTGTGTGTGTGTCTCTGTCTATGTGTGTGTGTGTGTGTCTGTGTGTCTGTATGTGTGTGTGTGTGTCTGTATGTGTGTCTGTGTGTGTGTGTCTGTATGTGTGTCTGTGTGTGTGTGTCTGTGTCTGTGTGTGTGTGTGTCTCTGTGTGTCTGTATGTGTGTCTGTGTGTGTATGTGTGTGTGTGTCTGTGTGTGTGTCTGTGTGTGTCTGTGTCTGTATGTGTGTGTGTCTGTGTGTGTGTGTCTCTGTGTGTCTGTATGTGTGTCTGTGTGTGTATGTGTCTGTGTGTGTGTGTCTCTGTGTGTCTGTATGTGTGTCTGTGTGTTTGTGTCTGTGTGTGTGTGTCTCTGTGTGTGTGTATGTATGTCTGTCTGTGTGTCTCTGTGTGTCTGTGTCTGTATGTGTGTGTGTGTGTGTCTGTATGTGTGTCTCTGTGTGTATGTGTGTCTGTGTGTGTGTCTCTGTGTGTCTGTGTCTGTGTCTGTATGTGTGTCTCTGTGTGTATGTGTCTGTGTGTGTGTGTCTGTGTTGTGTGTGTGTGTCTGTGTGTGTGTCTGTGTCTGGGTGTGTGTCTGTGTGTGCACGCACACGCGCGTGTATTCTTGTAGGCCTCTGAGATGTGCCTTAATAATAACACACATACCCTCCCTCTCTCTCTCTCTCTCTCTCTCTCACACACACACAGATACCCAACTTATTTTGCTCACTGCAGGTAGGATTAAGCTCTCTGCACAGAGAGGGACCTGTTTCATTAGGAACATGGGACAGCAGAAACAGGCAGGGCATTTAGGCCACTCATTTAGCAGGACTTTTGGGGAGAGAGCAGACGATACTGACACGAAGAGTAGCAGAACCAAAGGCAGAGTCTGACAACTTGGCATTAGCCAGGGCTCCCTCCCTTTCCACCCCACTTACTCCTCTGCAGGAGGCTGAGAGGTCTTTCATTTGAATTCGCTACTGGGAAGGAGGTCCCATGCTTTATGGAATTGGTTTAATGCCCCCTGTAGATAGTCTGACCATGGCATGGACTTTGCCGCCAAAGCTGATAATGAAGGAATAATAAATACTAATCGTTTTCGAATGTCGAAACTACTCAAATGGAAAAAAAAAAAATCCAAAAGCCATGATGTGAGTCGATCTAGCATGGAAGCTATATAAATTTTTATTCATTTACTTAAACCAGCACAAAGACAGAGCAAACTCAACTTACCCTTATGCAGCAGTGATGAGGGAACTTAATTATATTTGAGTATCTCATTCAAGTGATCTGGTCGGCCATAAAGATATGCGCTTCGTCAACCTGAATTAAAGGTTCACAGAATTTTCCAGAAGGCCATATTTGAGAACAGAGCATGATAAAAGGGGTAAAATGGCATGGAGGCTCTCAAAGAAATTCCAACGGTGCTGGGAAACTAATGATGCTTGTACGGTTCGTTTGTCGTTTACTATGCTATCACATTGTGACGGAGACACTAAAAATAAATCCACAGCAACATTTCAATACTCCTCGCACTGACAGCGCCCTTGTGCCCCGTGGAAGAGATGAAGCTCTAAAAATCGGATGTTCAGTATGCCGTTCAAATCTTAACCAGGGGAAAGCAACAGGAGAAACAATGCCTGTGGTCGGTCACACGTCTAAAGAGGATGGAGGCCACCTTCCCCTAAAGAGGATGGAGGCTCCCTTCCCCTAAAGAGGATGGAGGCTCCCTTCCCCTAAAGAGGATGGAGGCTCCCTTCCCCTAAAGAGGAAGGAGGCTCCCTTCCCCTAAAGAGGGTGGTGGCTACCTTCCCCTAAAGAGGAAGGAGGCTCCCTTCCCCTAAAGAGGATGGAGGCCACCTTCCCCTAAAGAGGAAGGAGGCTCCCTTCCCCTAAAGAGGATGGAGGCCACCTTCCCCTAAAGAGGATGGAGGCCACCTTCCCCTAAAGAGGAAGGAGGCCACCTTCCCCTAAAGAGGATGGAGGCCACCTTCCCCTAAAGAGGAAGGAGGCTCCCTTCCCCTAAAGAGGAAGGAGGCTACCTTAACAAAGGAAAGCATCAGCTGTTCTGTTCTGTTGTGTCTCTCCGAGAAGTGCATTGCACCAGAAAGTGAATCCATCAGGAAGGTACCTACGTCCTTGCAGACAATCAAGCTAAAGAGGACCATCACCCAGGAATAAATTGTCCTATGACAGGGAACCCGGAGTGATGACAGCACTTTGAAAGCGGAATTCCCTCATCATGTGAAAGTATTTAAAGGAGGGACTCTTCAACTGCTGTAAAAATCCTCAAAGGAAGCCCTGCCCCCACTGCTAATAACAAGGAAGGTGCTTCAAAGGACCCTAGCCAAGGACTGAAGCAATCTGCCCCTTGTTGAGAAAATTATCTTGAGCAAGAGGGAGGGGGGAGGGAAGTGTGTTTATGTCAGTTTTGACATTAAAGAAACATCATCTCTCCTCCTTTCTCTAGGCTTTTCTCATCCAACAAAACATCATTTGTTTTGGATGTGTTCCATACACTCTTAAAAAGAAAAGTCGTAGGAAAACCCATATAAACAGTGGGCTCCCTCCACGTACACACACACCCCTCCCAGCCCACCCCTTTGTTTCTATTCGATGAGGCTGGATGTGGGCCTATTATCATTTCATTTCAGAGAACGTAGACTGCACTTTTCAGATCACAGCCTACGCGTGTCAAGAACGTCTTATTTTTAATAAATATATTCTCCCCTGGAGGGCCTCTCATCTCAAGATAGTAAGCAAACGCAGTGACTGCAGGGAAGACGGACAACTTGGAATGC